TCCCAGGCGTCCAGATTCAGCTGCTGTTGAAACTGATCAGCGGCTGATTCCAGGAAGCTGGGGGCAGAGAAACTCTGCCTTGGGCTTCCTGTAGTCAGCTGCTGGTCAGTTTCAGCAGCAGCTGAATCTGGACAGTTCTGACTTACCTACAAATTCAACTTTAAGAACAAACCTACAGTCCTTATCTTGTACGTAACCCGGGGACTGCCTGTAGTGATCCTAGTAGGAACTGCTCCATCCTTAGATCCTGGGTCTTTGTTTTCAATCTCCAGGATGCATATCTTTATTAAGTATGCACCCATCTCAAAGACAATCATTAGCATGAATCATAACTTGTATCATGTCATCCCTTTTATCTTTTCATCTGGCCCAAGCATCTTTACAAAGGTCTTCATTGTCCACACAGCTTGCCGCCTCAGTGCGGGAATAGCTCCACTTTCCTCATCTTAGTGACCCTCAAGGTTCCACTTTCTTGGGATCCAGCCAGCAACCAGAAATGGCCTTGAAAACCTGGAAACGTCTACTCTCACTGGTATAGTGCATAGACTTCATTAGACCCACTCTGTACTCAACTGCTAGGATCTATTTACCCACAGAAAGTTTTGTTGTGAAATCTTATCACTACCCTACTGTAGTACCGACAGTCCACAGCAGGAACTTGCCTATTGCCCTTTCAACGAATTGATGGATTTTCCATTGATTAATTGATAAGGAGGGGATCTGCAGTGGGGGGTTAGCTCCTGGCCCTGGGCGCTAACCCCACTGTGGCTCTGCCTTTTAAATGTATTAAGAGCCTAATGTTTTCTTCCACAATTTGGTGCTGAGACTCGGATGGCAACGCCTGATTGAAGACAGCGACAGTGGCTGCAGACTGCCCCCTTCATCCCCAGGGCACCAAATGAGAGATAATAGACCTTTTGAAATCTCTACTGGGGTGTGGAGGAGGACTGCCTGTAGGGTCGTTGCTTCTTGCAGGCTCAGGCCATCCGAACTTTTTGAATCTGCAACAAGGTCAGAAGCAAAGTAGTTCCGGGGAGGTTGTTTTGCTACCCCCGAGTAGGCCTAAGTTTATGCAGTGCTGGGAACTGCTGTGGTTTTGGTGGTGCCGCCCCGGGTACGGGAAGAAAATTGTATTGCGTCCGGACATAAGGCACCTAGGTTTATGCAGTGCGAGAAACTGCTGTGGTTCTGTGTGTGTGTGTGTGTGGGGAAAGTGTAGGTTGCCGCCCCAAATATGAATGAGGTCCATAAAGAGAGATGCATCTAAATGTGGGAGGAAAACTTCTGTGTGAAAAGCATGCTGAGTGTGAATGTAATGAGTGGAGTATGAATGCCGCTGCCCAGGTCTCTGAGAAGTAAGCAGATTCCAGCAGCACCAGGGCTTTCCCACAAGGGAGTTCTGAATGCAAGGGGGGGTCAGCCGAACCTTGAGCCCAAGTGGATATGTGAGGGAGTGACGACTCCCCTTATTTCATGACTGTTTCAAGGAAAAAAAAGAGGAAAAGTTTGCTCCTCTGACACCGCCAAAGCCCAAAGATTTCTGACTACAAAAGGACACTAAGAACTGACCTTGGTGAAAGAAGCGAAGTATTGTATATTGCCAAGGAGAAACGTGTGGGAGTGGTTTGGGTTTCTCCCTTTGATTTGGACTCTGTGCTTACGGACGGGTACCATCAGCATGTACTGCCCTCCTCGATTGGTTTTAGATGCAATTAACCCTTAAGTTCCAAATACTCTTTAATTGGATTACCTTAGTACTCGACTGATACCAAAATCTGCGTTCACCAGAGGTCCAAAGAAATCTCTGAAAATCCATTTAATCCATAGCACATTCTCTCTGGTGTATTAATTATGATATGTTGTGTTATGTTACTAAAATTATAGAACAGCCCCATCCTAGAATTATATTGGGGATATTAATGATTATATTGCTTTTGCTTATTAAAGGTTTTGTATTTGATTGTTGTTGTAAAAGATGTAGTAATAAAAATAGCTTTTGTTTGTACTAATTATGTAATGTTTAATGAAAATAAAGGTTTAGAAAGGTAGTAGTGCTGTAAGCACAAAAGGGGGGACCGTGGAGGCAGGAAAAGGGAATAAGGGAATTTGTGTGCAGCCATCTTGGTCTTGTTAACAAGAGAGCAAGAGTCAGGCTAAGTCTGTGGCCTGACAACCCAAGATCTGTAAATAGACGCTGCCTTTGCCCCTCGCCTCCATACGGAGATAAGGATAGAATGCTGACTCTGGCAGGGACCTTGAGATAAGGTGCATCTGGGTGGAACTAAAATAACTGTTAGCCATTGGTGTTTGTAATGGGAAGGAGACTAGTTGTTGTTATTACATGTACTGGACAGTATATAAACTGCTTCATAATTGCTTGTATTCGAAGATCTGCTTTGTG